GGGTCTGCTCTGTGGAGGTTTGAGAGTCGGCTCAATCACGGAAAGGACGTGTAGACCACGCCCAAGTCCGTGTGTTAGTCTCCGGGTGTATAGTGAAGACCTGAGCTCTCTGGACTTCTAGGAGTGCAGAGGAGTTATTGTGCGCATGCGCGTATCCACCCCAGGGCTCAATCAAAGGCGGCGGGAAGTTGGTTTTCTGAGTAGCAACTGAGCTACTTGAAGATGGATTGGAGACGACGGACCAATAAGCAAATATCTCATTGGTTTAGCGCTCTCAGGGTCCCGAATATAGAGCTTCCCATTGGGCCGTTCAAGCAGAGCGGGGCGTAACTCCCGGGGCTCCGCCCCGCGCCTCGGCCCAGCCTTGGGGGTCCAGGGCTGAGGGTGCGGAACATAAGTAAGCGGGTCTCGACCCTACCCCCTCTCGTCCTTGTTGGGGCCGCCGCCGCCGCTGCTGCCCGCTCTCCGTGCCATTCCCTCGGTCCCCGGCCGCGCGGAGCCGGGATGCACTGCTCCTGCTGTGGGTCCTCATCATGGAGACCAAACGGGTGGAGATTCCCGGCAGCGTCCTGGACGATCTCTGCAGGTACCGCGGCGCTGTGCGCTACTCCGGCCCCCTTTGGTCCTTTGGCTCGTTTTTTCTCGGAGTCGACTACCGCAGAGGCCTCCCTGTCTCTCCCCCCGCCCACATTCTTGTCCTCGCTTTCCGGTCCCGCCGCTGCTCCCTTTCCCGGGGCGACCCTTCTTTCGGACGACACCACCCCTCTTTTTCCGCCGCAGAGCCTCCCTGTTTCTCACGCCCCTTCCAACCTTCTTCGCGGAGCCCTGGAATTTCCTCATTTTCTTAGTTCCCCAACTATTTTCTTTTTCCGTAAACGAAACTGCTTCGCGGAAGCCAGGATCCTTAGCGTTTTTTAGCTGCCCCCCTCCCCCCCTCCTATTGCTTTTTCTGCCTCTCTGACTTTTACAGACCGTTTTCCCCTCCTCCCACCGTCTCATTTCCTAATTCTGTTGAAAGACTGCAAGGTTTTAAATCTTAGAATCCCACGTCCTCAGACCTACGCAGGGAGCAGTTTTCAAACTTACCCTTTTCCCCGTGACATTTTCTGTAATTGCTATAAAGAATTCCTCTCTTGTTCATCCCAAAACTTATATTGGAAGGGGAACACAAAATCTAGAGCTGCTTTTCTGTTCATCACTTAATTTATCCTTCTTAAAAGAAATTCTCAACCGCAAGGTTTTAACTCATGGGTTACTTTTACAAGAGAAAATTTCTGCATTCTTGTTAGTTATGATTTCAGATAGCCAAACACGTGTAAAATGAACTTAAAATATATTTTTTCCCCTAAGTAAATTTTTTGGTTATCGCCAAATGTAAGGGGGTGTGAAATAATTGAAATGACAAGTGAGTAAAAACCCTGATAAAATAACACCTTTTCAATTATAGTTAAGTGTATTTATGTCTAAAAGTCTGACTTTGAGTAGTTGTGTTTCATTCACGCGGTTTTTTTGTTTTGTTTTGTTTTTTGCTTTTTGTTTTTAATGAGAACTAATATTTGTAGGGTTACTGTTGGGTGCCAGGCACTGGGTCATCCTTTAACATATTTTATTTAACCCTCAAAACAACCCTATTTGGTAGGTACAGTTAAGTTTTCATCTGACAGAGTCAGAGAGGTTGTCATTTACACAAGGTCACATTCATCGTGATTCGGAAAATCAAGATTTGAAGCCTATGCCTTAGACTCTACAATGCCTGTGCTTTTTCTCCTACGCCAGGTGGATGTAATAGAAAATCAAGTCTAACATTTTAAACTTCACAAAAGAAAGATACATGTAGATAAGTAAATAGAATAATTTTACAACAAATAAGAATGTCACTGTATTTCTCTGGTGATTGTATTCTAATTTTTGGAATATGATAGATTCAAATGAACCACTTAAGAGGCACTTATTTTCTATGATCCCAAGTTTTTAAGAAAAGAAAAAAAGATTTGATACATGTGTATGTCTGTACGGATAAATGACTAGAAGAACATATACCAAAAGTGGGATTATAATTTTCCTTATTCA